TAAAATACTCCATACTTTCTGCCAACTGAGTCTCATGATCATATTGTGAAACCACATTTCTAGGCAAAGAGCACAAAGCCAGGGAGGCAGATGGGGGCAGAATGAGGAGGGGGCTAGCCAAGAAGCCAGGTCACTTGATTCACAATCTTCTGTGTCTCATCCTCCCATGGGGGAGGGATACTAAAAGGCAGGTATATGACTTTAGTACTTTTCCTGGACTGTGTCAGGGAGTCTGTTACTAGGTCAGGGTTCGACGTCTACCTCTTCTGTGTTTAGTTTTGGCATCTTGGACTATCTCCTAACCACTCAGCAGCCCCCTTTCCTCACCCCAAAATCAATGCAAACATAGCTGACATTGCTCACCAGCTTATCCCAGACACTCTGCTAAGCATGGCTTGTCCATTGTGTCATTTAGTCTTCAGCAAACACATAAAGGGTGAGAACTGATTGCCAGTTATTTGTACCCAAGCATATTTTCCCTGAGTACCCATATTGTCTCCAAAATGACTGTGATGATTAGGAGATGATGAGACAAAGACTTTCCCAATGTATAGCATTATACACGACTCTCGCCCTCTGGCTTCATGATCTAAAACTTAGGACCCATCCAAAAATATTTTCTCTGTGGGATGCTCTAGCCATAGATTATGTCAAGTACTCAGTTCTATGTAAGTGTTTCCCTTATATAAATAGAAGTCTTTCAAAATCAAAGTGTAACAATTGCTTTGTCTATGTAAGGAACAGAAATAATTTTGAATTTAAAATAAAGATGCATTCTGTGTCCTTCAGTGGTTATCCATGGCTAACTTTTCATCCAGAATTAGGTGGAAATGAAGCTTTCTTCATTTAGGATCTGTCCTTAGCAACTGCCTAGGGGCTGGAGAGGTAGCCCAGCAGTTAACACATGCAGAGGGCATCATGCAAAGAACCTGGTTCACAACTAGGTTAACTCCAGCTCCAGGAGATCCAATTCATTCCACCCCTCAGGGTGCCTGGACACAGGTGCACACCCCGATGCATATTCAAATACTTTAAAAAATAAAAATGAATGTTAAAAAGAAACAGCTGAGGTTATTATATACTGTTTCAAAACTCTACCCATGCCACTCTTGGGGATTCCAGAACTGCACCCGTGAGTAGAGAAGTGTGGAGAACACAGAGGTCTTGGGGAAGAATGTGCTCTTTTAGGTGACAAAGGAGGTTGATTCTTCAGCAGCAAGGGAGAACCAGGAAACTCTAGTGGTCTGTCTTTGCCTTCCTTCCCAGCATTTGGGGTAAGTCCTGGGCCACCCTTTATCCCGGGGGTCTCCTTTAACTGCCTGCATTAGTCCATACATTCTGGATTCTTTGTTTCCCTATGGAAAGATTTTCTGTGTCATAGACTCTTCCTTCTTCATATGGGGGAGGAGAGGGGAAGTAGAGCTGAAATTCTCACGAACGTGGTTGCTGAGGCTGTAAGAAGGGCACAGACTACACAAGACAGATGTCATTTTTAGAGCCTCAGAGCAAGAGCTATGAGAGAGCTCAGTGGGTAATGGTGTTGAAGCTACTGACCGAGTTCATTTCCCAGAACCCAGTAGAAGGAAAGAAGTGATCCTATGAGGTGCTCACTGACTTCTGTGGGTACATACCTCCCGTGTGTGTGTGTGTGTGTGTGTGTGTGTGTGTGTGTGTGTGTGCGCACACACACACACACACACACACACACACACACACACACACACACACACACACACACGCTAAACAACCAGTCATCTAGCCAATCAACCACCTACTGACCGACGGACCAACCTACCTACCTGACTGACTGACAGTAATAAAAAGTTTCAGGACAAGCATTCCCCCTAAATACAAGAGGGACACTTGGAGACTTTCCTCTGGTCTTCTCTAATTCACTTTTGCTCTGGGAACTTGCCAAACCTAAGCTCTGCCTGCTTCGCTTTATTTGTAGCTGTTGTTGAGACTATGCCCCTGAGCCGACCTGTGTCAGTCGGTAGATGGCGATAAAGGAACACGGAGATGCTATGAGGCAGCCTGGTGCAGATTGGCGCTCTCCAGGAGAGTCACTCACCCAGGCAGTGTCTGTGGCCCTCTCCTCCTCACACCTGCCAGTGTCAATTCATGTGCACAGTTACACTAGAGGTGGATATTTAGTGAATGATGCACACAAGCAACAGGGAGTGGAAAGATGTATTTAGCCAAAGGCACTTAAAATGTCCTTACACCACAGTTTACTGCAACATTAAGAAAAAGTCAAAGATGAACCAAGGAGTGATCTTTTAGATAGAGTGAAAAGTAAAACAGAAAGAAAATGGAATATTGCCGAATCCTTCCTGGTGATAAGAACTGTTTAATGGGGGTTGGGGCTTTAGCTAAGTGGTAGAGGGTTTGCCTAGCAAGGGCAAGGCCCTGGGTTGGGTCCTCAGCTCCAGGGTTGGGAGTGGGGTGGGTGGTAGGAGGTGGGGGGTGGTGAAGAACTGTTTAATGCTGGGAAGCAAAGAAAGGGTCAACAGAGCTGATTACATAAACTCTACAATGTCTGTGCATCTAAAACTGAGGACAAAGAGAAGGACAATTGGCACCCTAGAGGAGAAGTCACAACAGTGTGACACAAGGAGACAGCATGGTGGCACAAGCTCACATAAGTTGAAGAGAGAAGTTGCCTAGCAGAGGTGAGGCCCTGGGTTTGAGTCTCAGCACTGCAGATGGTGAAAAACCACTTCCAAACAAATGCAATCAAACATGCACCCATGTAATCCCAGTTTGACGGAGACTGAGGCAGGAGGCGTTCGAGCTACATATAAAGACTGTGTCAGAAAAAAAAAAGCTTATGTGGCGACTCTTGCTTGTAATTGTGTAATTGCAGCACTTGGGAGGAGGCGATGACAGGATCAGGAGTTCAAGACCATCTTGTATCCAACCACAATAGATTTGGGGTCAGGTTGGGTTACATGAAACCCATTCTCAGTATAATGTCTTCCACAACAAAACCAAAACCAAAACAGATCACATAAACAAAAATGCAGAAGAAACACCTTGTGACCATAGTAAGTTAACTGACAGAGAACACTTACAGAGATACTTGATGGGGAAATTAAGAGATAACCCTTTCAATAAAATGCACAGTTTATTAATGACTGAGGATGAAAATCATTTATTTTTCTCACTAAACTTAACAACAAAATCTTTTGTCTGACTGCCCTGGAACTCACTATGTAGATAAGGCTGGGGTCAAACTCACAAATGCTTCCTGCCTCTGACTCCCAAGGGCTGGGATTAAAGGTTTGAGCCACTCTGCTTGGCTCACAGAGCTCTAAAAAATGAGGATACCCAACACTGGTATGCGTAACTCAGCCAGGCCTGCTCATTTATTTATTCTTTGTTGTGCTGGGGCCAGAACCTAGGTCCTCACATTTGCTAGGCAGATGCTCTGCTACCAAGCTACACCCCCAGCCTGAGACAGGTCCTTCTGTGCACACACCAACACTCCATTGGGTGGCAGCATGGCATCTTGTAATGTTGATGTGTATATTAAAGGATTTAAAAATGTACGTTGACGAGAGGTCTCAGTGGTTTAGAGAACATACCACTCTTAAAGAGGACCTGAGATCTGTTCCCAGAACTGGGGGGTGGGAGCTCACAACTGGCTGTAACTCTATCTCTACAGGACCTGACATCCTCTTCTCCTCCTCAGGCTCTTGTACACATGTAACACATGCACACATAGTTTGCACACATGCATGGACACACATACACACACAAATGAAAATAAAAATGATTATGTTTTTAAAAGACTTAAAGGTGTGTAGGTGGGCTGGAGAAATGGCTCAGTGGTTAAAATCTTGCACTTGTTGCTTTCCCAGAGGGGCTCTGGTTTGGTTTTCTGTACCTACATGGTGGCTTATAACCACCCATCACTCTGGTTCCAGGGGATCTGATGCTCTCTTCTGGCCTATGAGACCAGACACATGTCACACACACACACACACACACACACACACACACACACACACACACAAAGGAATAAAGTAAGACAGATGCAGGCAGATCTCTGAGTTAGAGGTCAACCTGGCGTACAGAGTGAGTTCCAGGACAGTCAGGGTTATACAGAGAAACCTTGTCTCAAAAAAACAAAAGGACAAATGTTTAGATTTCTAGGCTCAATAATTTGTATCTGGGAACATACCATAATAGAATGATATTTTTAGAAAAGCTGTCTGCCTGAGGACATTCCAATATTATTTTAAAATCAATATATGAGAAAATTTGTTGCAGAACATAAATGTTTTGAAGTAAAAATAAGCTAAAAGAAATCAACAGAGAAACAATTACCCGTATCCTTGTCATAGCCGTTTAGTGGACTGGCAATGTATATATTTTAAATGATGATTATAAACACTAGAAAATGACAAAACTGAAACAGGAGAAGCATTTCAGGGAAGAACAATTTCTGCCTTTTGAGAGAATGAACAGATTCTTGGGAATTAGACTGCCATTTTTTTCTGTAGTCTCCAGTGAGTTTGTGTGTCAGTGTATTTGTTTGTGCACACAAGTGCTCACAAGTATGCATGTGTATATGAAAACGAGGGAGGAAGGAAGAGGCAACAGGGAGTATGAAGTTGTTTAGAGTTGAATGAAACAACCAGAAAAACCCAGGATGGGATGTTGGAAGGTTCCCTGTGTCTGGGCCTGTGCTCAGGATGGGGAGACTAGAAGCAGATCACCTCTGTCGGCTGTGAATTTAAAATCTGGTGTCTAAAGGAAACTGTGCAGGAGATTATACTATGCATTGCCAATTTCAGAGAAGGATGTATAAGTGAAGGCCTTCTGGGAAAGTAAGGAGTGAAAGTCTCCGAAGGCCTCCCGGGAGATGTGAGGCCTGGGGGAGAATTAAAAATGCCATCTTTGGAGTAGACTCCACTAAGATGGATGGGATATGATGCTGGTCCTAATTGGATGTGCTGTGTGGGTCTGCCCTTCTCAAGGCTATGCACTTGTTGATTCCAGGGCTTAGGATGCTGCTGCTGCTGCAAGCTGTCCTGCTGCTTTTAGCCTTGCCCAACCATGCTGAGGTTACCACGACTGAAGGTCCAGAAGTCCTGCTCCCTCCACCCAAGGGGACTTGTGCAGGTTGGATGGCCGGCATCCCGGGACATCCTGGCCACAATGGGACACCAGGCCGTGATGGCAGAGATGGCATTCCTGGCGAGAAGGGTGAGAAAGGAGATGCAGGTATGAAGAGTCCTGGGCAGAGGGGGGCTTTGCAGGATATGTGATACCAGTTACTAAGGCTTAGACACGGGCAAGAAACAAAACCTTTTTATGTGGGTCATAGGCATCTTGGAGCTTGAGTTGTTCTCTTTGAGTGAGATGAGGTGATACCTACTGAAGTATCCATGACTTCTCTCTATCTCTCCTTCCCTCTGCCTACCCTTGCCCATGTTCTCAATGTATTTCTATTCTTAGTTCCTGTAGTAGCATTTTATTTCTCCCCCCCTAATTCTTGTTCTATCCATTGGCATTCACCCACACTTTTTGTGCACTCTTGGAGAACTCAGTAGCTTTTAGAGAACACTTGGTTTGGTCAAGAAGACAGATCTAATGTACAAGATTCTGGTAGTGGTTGTGAGGACCAAATGTCTTCCAACACACAGCATGCCAGTCTGAATGTGTGCAAACAATGAAGGCATGGAAAGGATACAGATTATTGATCAGGCTGTGAGGAGGAGGCTAGCTGGAGCCACACCTCAAAGGATGGCTCCAGAGATTAGGAGAGGACATCCAACCAGAGGGGATGGAAGTTAACAAATACATGGGGTGGTCAGCCAGTGTGCAAAGGACTGGTAGGGCAAATTAACTATGGTGGATACTTACAGGAGATGAATTTCTGGAAACATGCTGTGCTATGGGGGATATGGAAAGGTTTGAGATGACGGAATGAATAGATGAATAAGTAAATGGATACATCATGGTCAGAATATCTACTGACCCCAACTACTACTAACTCAGAGCCTCTGCCAGGCCAAATCACGCAAAGAACAATGGACCAGGATGTATTGTCTAGCATGGAAGTTCTAAATATCAATCAGATTGCTTACTCATCTTTTCATTCACTCAACTTTAAAAAAAAATGTTGGAGATGAACTTATGGGAACCCGCCAGGCTGTGAAGTGTGTGAGGAGTGGAGATGACATCTTTCCTTATCTGATCAAATGGATTGTGGGTGGAGGTCCTGGAAACAGCCTGGGCAGCTCTGTTGCCAGAAGTTACAGAATTCTTCTCACTTTTTAGGTCTTCTTGGTCCTAAAGGTGAGACAGGAGATGTTGGAGTGACTGGTGCTGAAGGGCCTCGAGGCTTTCCTGGAATCCCTGGCAGGAAAGGAGAGCCTGGAGAAGGGGCTTATGTGTATCGCTCAGCATTCAGTGTGGGACTGGAGACCAGAGTCACTGTCCCCAGTGTTCCCATCCTCTTTACTAAGATATTCTACAACCAACAGAATCATTATGATGCCAGCACTGGAAAATTCTATTGCAACATCCCAGGGGTCTACTACTTCTCTTATCACATCACTGTGTACATGAAGGATGTGAAGGTGAGCCTCTTCAAGAAGGACAAGGCTGTTCTCTTCACCTATGACCAGTATCAAGAAAAGAACGTGGACCAGGCCTCTGGATCTGTGCTCCTCCATCTGGAGGTGGGCGACCAAGTCTGGCTCCAGGTGTATGGGGATGGGGATAATAATGGACTCTATGCGGATAATGTCCATGACAGTACCTTCACAGGCTTCCTTCTGTACCATGATACCAACTGATTGCAACTAACTCAGAGCTACCAATAGTCTAAGCACTGCAAGAATCATAACAGTCAACAAGCTTCCAGCATAGTTTGAAAGATTGATTTTATTGCTTAGTGTGAGGGTTCTGAATATTATCCACACATATATTAATTCATTCATAAAATGACTTTATAAAATAATTTCTGTGTTCTTAGTCTAGAAAAAGAATCATTCCCTGGTCTCCACACTCTTACATAGTAGCAATATTAAAATGAAAATAACATTTGGGGGACATGATTCACAATACTCTCATGACTTAAGGAAGTAGAAAATGCTATTTTGTGTTCACTGTCTCTCTTGATGTTCATACAAATCCTGTAAGGCACTTGTGAAATACAGCATCTCCTCTTTTTACCGCTTGGGTCTTTAGGCTGAGTGTATGAATGTCTAAAGTCCTAAGTGTATTAAAATGGCAGAGGTAAAAGTGAAGGCCAGAGCATGATCTGTTTTCATTGGAAGTGTAGATTAAAAGGGCCAGCCAAAGAAACACATCCTGGTCCTGGAACCAGAGCCAAAGTTTAAAAGGGCCAGTGAATGAAACACACTTTGGTCTTGAAACCAGGGCCAAAGAAATACACTCTGCCCCTGATCAACTCAGCAGGAAAACCAACCAATCATTAAACATGAAACCAACCAATCCCTATGAAATCCAGTCAATGTCTGAGCTTGTCCCAGCTCAGAGATTGAAATTTGACCAATTCTCACCCTGAAAATCTTTACCCTAGAAAAACTCTGCCTCTAAGAAGCCCTGTGCCTGTTCAGTTGGGAGCTGCCTTTTTCCACCCTGTCAGAGGCAGCCATCCTCCTGGATTCCTCCCTCCTAATAAATCTCTTGAATGAGGTTTGGGTGGAGACCTTCATCAGAATGGAGCAGAGCAGAGAAGTAACAACTTTCTTAGCAGCTGGAGCACAGGAAAGCACATCCATATGTAACACTTGCGCTTGTTTAGAGTATTGGTAGAGGTCTCTTGTCCATTTTATTTGAGGGTCACATTTTGCATCCACCAAGACTTCTCCCCAGTAGAGCTCACTCAGGGAAGGTGGTCCTATGTCTAAGTCCTATTCTAGCTGGCCTGATACTCATTGGCTCCTTCCCATCTCTGCACATCCTCTTATCTGTGTCTCTGCTCATGTCCTCTCTTCCAGCTAGGGAAATCTCTTCCAACTTCACAAGTGGGTTGCTCCATCCCTCAAGGCCACCTAGATAGGAGATTTTCTGATGTGATCTCATTCCAATTCCCTCGTGTTTTCCATTGATGAAAGTCTGTGTGTGAGACATGTTCTCCTTAGACTAGGAACAATTGCCTGTTAGGTTGATCTTCCTCCACCTCTGAATAATCCTCTGAAGGTCACTGACAATTGCTCAAAAGAAGAGCTGTCTCTGAATCCCATTTAGATCCATAATTTACTTCAGTTCGGTTTCTACAATACTCATTCTTATCCAAAGAACCATCTCATTTAGGAACACTGTGGTTTCAAGCTCCCAATCCCTGTTCAAATGGACAGTTTCCTTTCCCACTGAGGTAAAAAGGATTACTGCGCCTTTCACAACACCAGCAGAATTCTCCCTCAAAGAAGTAATTTTAGCCAGAAACACAAAGTACAGAGCAATTTGCCTCATTCTTTCCATGAGCACTGACAAGGTGGAGGAAAAAACACACTATGCTCCTGACTAACTCAGCAGGAAAACCAACCAATCCCTGAGCAGGAAAACCAACCAATCCTTGGGCACAAAATCCAGCCATTGGTGCTCCTAAACTCTTGCTTTCCAAGACTTACAGGTGGAAGGGCTGGCTTTGTGTTCACAAGCACTTGCTGTTCTCACAGAGGACTTGGGTTCTGAGGCCAGCAGCCACACTGGACAGCTCACTGCTACCTGTAACTCCAGTTCCAGGGGATCCCATGTCTTTTTCTGGTTTCCACAGATATTGCATGCACATGGTGCTCTTGAATATACTCAGGCACACACATATACACATAAACAAGCAATAAGACTTAAAATACAGGTGGTTTTCCATAAGAGGAAAAGTCCTTTGCTTAGGAACTGGCTAAATACACTTGACCCAAGACCTTGGTTAGTGCTGGCCTGTGAAGGACCACCTTGACACTTACTGCCCGGCTCTCAGTGTGTGTTGAGGATGTAGGTAGGCCTCTCTGCTTCCCCATCCTATAATCCTTTGTTCTTTCTGTCTGTGAGCAGTAGGCATGTGCAGCCCTGGGGTAGCCATGTGTAACTGAATTAATGGTGGTCTTGAAATCAACTGAGAGCTTCCCCACACTAGTTAAGTGCTTACCACTGAGCTGCAGCTCAAGTCCTGACTTTGGATATTATAAAACTGACCCTTAAAGTCAAGAGATATTTGGAGATTGAAAGACAAAATGATGGACTTCAGATAATCTAGTTCACATCCATTAATAAAAGTCCTGCTGAGTGGTGGTGCCCACCTTTAATCCCAGCATTCAGAGGCAGAGGCAGGCAGATCTCTGTGAGTTCTAGGCCAGTCTGGTCTACAGAGTGAGCCAGGACAGGCTCCAAAAACTGCACAGAGAAACCGTCTTGAAAAACCAAAATAACTAGCTAACAAACTAACTAACTAAATATATAAATAAAAGTCTTTTGTATAAATTATAAGAAAGAGCTATAGTGACTCACAGTGGTAAACTTCCCTTTAGGAGAAAACTGCTTGAATGGAATACTTTAAAGTTTAGAAAAAGAGTAAATGGCCCATGCAAATGTTGCTTTGTTTGTCTCTGGATGAGCCCCTTTGGTAAGGACGCTGGAGGCTTTGTCTTTCAAAGTGTTTGCTTATTGTTATTTTCTACAAATAAAGATCACATTACAAGTATAACTACATGCTGTGCATTACTTCTGTTTTTATTTCTGGAGAAACATTTGGGATTGAGAGAAGCAGTATTAGGACTCTATGTTGTAAGTGGCAGAATACCCAACCTCAAGCAAGGCAGGCAAAAAACAAAACAAAACAAAACAAAAAACAAAACCACTACTACCAAATAACATGTCCAGTTTCAGGGATGAGTTAGATCTTGCTAAGTCATTGGCTAAAGTGGTCTCATAGATCCCCTGAACACCCAAGTTACCCTCCATAACCTGGTAATAAGTCTCTATTGTTGAAGAGACCACTTATTCGTTTCATTAAACATGGAAAACCAAAGCTTGTCATCAACAAAAAGATTCACCCCTACTGACCAGTGCTCATGTTGCTGCAAGGTACTCTGCACACTGCCAGAGGAGAAAGGCAATCAATAATACAACCAAGCTACAGACACTGGGACTTACACTAGAGTCATTCCTGCAAGTTATACTGGTGTAATAGTGGCACAAATGTCAGGGGTGGTGCCTGCTGACTTTTTGTTTGGATTCAAGGCCTACTCCATGAGATAGCACTTGGACTTTGACACTGCCAAAGTGGCTAAGAACCTGAGAGTACATAGGTTATGGATCCTAGGGGAAAACCTACTACTATTATTCTGTTAAAAGAACACAGCAATAAAATGACTCTTAAGGACATATTGTTTTTAGTGGTTTGAATGTAAATGTACCTCCTCCTTTATAGAGAGTGGCACTATTAGGAGAAGTGGCCTTGCTGGAGTAGGTGAGGCCTTGTTGGAGCAGGTGTGGCCTTGGTGGAGGATGTGTTGTCACTGGAGGGTAGGCTTTGAGGTTTCAAATGCTCAAGCCAGGCCTAGCAGGTATCTCTCTCTTCCTACTCCCTGACAACACAGATGCAGGACTCCCAGCTACCTCTCCAGAACCATGTTTGTCTGCGTGTTGCCATGCTTCAGTGACAATGAACTAACTGAACTGTAAGTCATCCCCAGTTAAATGCTTTCTTTGTAAGAGTTGCCATGGTCATGCTGTCTCTTCACAGCAATAGAAACACTAACTGAACATTGTTATACCTGGAGATTAGCGTCTCACTCAACCCTCATCAGAAAGCATTCTTCTTACAGTATATGGTAACTAATACAGAGACCCACAGCCGGGAAACATGCAGAGAGTGGCTTTGGAGCACTCAGTCCTACATGGATGTCTCCATCAAACCCCTCAGCTCAAGGCTCAGGTATCTGTTCAGAAGAGGTGGAAAGACTGAAGCGCCGGAGGTGATGGATGGATGACTCTCAGGAAACAGCGTCTTCCAGACACCACAGGACTGACACACACGTGAATTCACAGAGCCCAACAGAACTCACGAGGCCTGCAGAAACTCAAGCCAGACAAAATTCCAGCAGAGAGAGGAGGAAGTGAATATAAAACCCCACCCCTAACCAAGGCACCATTTGTAATTAGTACTTTCTGGAATAGGGAAATCAAGTCATTTTTCTTCAATGAAGTGTCATTGGATGTATCAAGTGTGTGTGTGTGTGTTTTCATTTTTGATTGTTTTGTTTTTTTTGTGTATTTCACTATTTTTTTTCTGAGAGAGAAAACATGAAGTTGGATGAGTAGGGAGAGGGGAGGGTCTGAGAGAAGTTGGGGGAGGGGAAGAGAAGTATCAAAATATAAGTAAGAAAGCAGCCAATAAAAATGAATGTCTTAGCTGGGTGCGGTGGCACACACCTTTAATCTCAACACTCAGAGGCAGAGGCAGGAAGATCTCTGTGAGTTTCAGGGCAGTCAGGGCTACCCAGACAAACCTTGTCTTGAAAATCAAAATAATAGTAACAGTAACAGTAATAATAATAACAACAATAAGCCTTAAACCACAACTAAATTATAAAAAACAAAAAATAGTAGGCAACATTTATTCTTTTCCTTGTAATAGAACATATCAGAGTTATGCCCACCCCTTTTTTTGAATGCTTTAACCAGAGGCTCAAAGTCAAGCTCCTTTTCTGTCTTTCACTCTATGCAGCCTCTCATAGTGTAGTTGCCATTCTAGAACTCTGGTTCTAGGCTCTGTCTCATACAGTCACAGAGACTACAGCCTGCCTGTCTTTCACCATAGTCTTGTGTCACATCATTTATCCAAATGGTTACTGCCTTTTTTGATAGTTCCCAAACTGATGAGAAGGCTCTGTTTTCTACAGAAACCCGAGCATGCATGTCCTTGTATTTCATTGGCTTTGGCTGTGTGTGTGGGTGTGGGGGGGGGCAGGGAGGAGAGGATTTCTTACCAATCAGGAGGACAGAATGTACTTACTGACTTATGTCAAGACATGAATATTTAGAAGTATTTTCCTTAAAAAGAATCTGGAGACTGTCACCAGAGTGGGAGAATAGCTTATGGATGAATATTAACGCCTGCCTGTAACAAACTATTTGAACATTCTCGGGAGACATTGCTGGAAAATTACCATTGATTTTACCTATGATGAGAACAAGGACCCTGATA